GAGGGTGGAATGCGGTGTCCGCACGGCCGGCTATGCGGGGAACGCAGCAGATGGACTTGCCCGGGAACATTTGTTTCCTTGTCTCACAGACTCCCTGGTGAGGAGGGAGGAATTCTGGGGACAGACAGACAAAGGAGAATGTCGGGGAAAGAGGGAAAACAAGCCAGGAACGACGGAGTGGGCGGCATGAGTCATCAGTAGAGGGACACGGGAATGGGGAGAGTGATCGGTTCCCTGTCAGACGCACTTGATGGAAGTGCATGTCCACCCTGACCTTGGGCATGTGGTCGGCAGCTCAGGTCACCGACTACGGGCTTGGGAGTCATTCATTAAGGCACCGCAGTACAGAGCAGCCAACCTCCACCAGCATTTACACACGCAGGCGTGCACCCTGGTGGCAGAGCGGGGCTACCCAGAGGGGTGCAGGACGAGGTCTAAGAAGAGAGGCCCCTCCTCAAGGGGAGGCAGGGGAGCTGTGAAGAGGAAGAGGAGGGATGGGAGGAAACCCAGAGGAGCCAGGAGGGTGCAGGTCGCAGGAGCTAGGAGAGCAGAGCTCAGGAGACCGTGGCCAACAGACCCCTCCAGTGAGGTCGACACAGCCCTCACCTGCAGCTGCACCTGCCCAGGCGCCTGTGTCCCAGGGAGGGCGGAGGCCTTGAGTAGACAAGTGGGTGTGAAGTCCCGTCCCAGGTCCCAGAAACTGGGTGCCGAAGGAGAGGCTGGGACAGAGCCCTTGCCCAGGGCGCCATGGAAAAGGGGGTTCTGGGTGGAGTGACTTCACGTTCACGCTCAGGGAAAAGGCCAGCAGGGACGGAGACGTTAGAGATACTCAGGAAAGAGGGACATGGAATGAAGTCCTTCGAGAAGGCGAGGGGAGGAGCTCCGAGCCCCTGCAGATAGCAGGCGACACACTAGCTATGGCCGGGAGACAGTTTATCACCCCGTTTTGAAGACGGAAAAATGAAGCCCCGAGGGGAAGAGACGGCCTCAGACACAGAGGCGGTCAGTCCTGTGCTGCATGTGGCCACCTTTCTGGGCTAGAAAGGCCCCTTACCAGGCCAGGGCGGGGCTGGACACCCGAGTTCCCAGGAGGGAATGCAGGTGAGAGGCACGGGGAGAAGACAGAGCCAGGGGGAAGGCAAAGGCATCTCCGCCCGGCAGCAGCTGCTCCCAAATATGTCACAACTTGTCAAAGAGGCAGAAATAGAAGCTGCCCAGGGAGTGGGAGGGGGTGTGGCCTGCGGGGCTTCTGAGCCCCAAGGAGGGCAGAAGGGGGGGCGGGAAGGTCCATGGTAAGTAGGACAGTGGTGCCAGGCCTAGGGGGGCTGGAAGAGGTCCAGGGAGCCATCCAGTGGCCTCAGGGAGACTGAGCTTGGGGTGGCAGCAGGCGGGGCAGCAGGGAAGGAAGAGCTGCCCACACACATGGTCCCCACTGACCCCGAGTCCACTCCTCAGGGTGAGGCCTGGCTCGCACCCTCTCAGCAGTCCTCCTGCCGACCCCTGAGCCCCGCAGCCCACAGGCTGAGGCGGAACCAGGGCGCCACCTTTCAAGGGGCCACTTGGGTCACTCAGTCCAGCACCTGATTGACCACAGGGAGACCAGGGAGGAGACACGGCAGCAACGCCCTGGCTTCTGATCCAGGGCTCCCTCCTCCACGGCCTTCCCTTCCGACAGGTCGTCCTTGGGAGCTGAGGGCCGAGCTCAGGAACCACCCGGGCACTCGCACGCACACCTCCACAGCCCGGGTGCACACGGCCCACACCCTGCGGGCCCAGCGGGCTCTGTAAACCTCGTTCGGTGCTTTGTGACCACCAAGCACCTCCTCACACCCGTCCCCTGGACCCTCCTGTCCACTCCAGGCCTCACCTTCACCCGCCCAGCAGAGGCCAGAGATTCTTGGCGAGTGACCTGGCGCTGAGCCGACCCCAGCGGGTGGGACTTCCCAGGGGTTATCTGATGCTTGTCCTCGGAGGAAAAGGACACAACGTGGCCTCCCGACCCTGCCCTCCTGCTTCTCACCTCTCCACCCCCCTCCTCAGGCCCCATTTGCCTCCAAACCCTCCTCTGGTCTCAAGCCCTCAGGTTCCTCGGCCCCCAGCCCATCGCCCCTTAGCCCTGGTGTGTCTTCTTTCCATCTCTCCGTCAGGCCTTCTCTGACGTCTCCCTGACTCTCCATTCGACACCTAGAGCCCTCCAACCCCTGCCGCCTCCTACCTGTGCCTGAGCCCACCTGGAAAGCAGGTACTCACGGTGAGAACTGGGCCTTCTCCACCCCTCACCCTCAGGGAAGGAGAGGGGGCCCCTGGCTCTGCCCCAAGGCCCAAGCTCAGGCACCAAGAGCCAACACCCTCACACTCTGACGGGGTGCCCTGTGCGCCCTCAGGAGAGTCACTTTCTTCTCCGGCCTCAGTTTCCCCGTGTGTAGGAGGAAGCTTCCCTGCTCAGGTTTTCTCAGATTCTGGATCTGTTCTCACTGCAAAGCTACTGGCCCACAGGGAGCTGATGCTGGTGGGCACCCATTGTTCCGGCTTCAGGGCCACGGGAGCATTTTCCTGCCGCCCCAGCCAGGGCCCCAGCCAGGGCCCCAGCCAGAGACCCAGCCAGGGCCCCAGCCCGGAGAACAGAAGCTCAGCCATCTTTGCAGAAGCCAAAGGCTCTCACTCCCCGATTCCCAGCACCTGAGACTCTGGACCGGGAACCTGGTTGGATGTTATGCAGTCAACCTGGCAGCCCAGGTCGCCCACCTGCCAGGTCGGCTGGGACTGGGAGATGCTGGGGGAGCAGAGCGGGGAGCAGGGAGCAGGGAGCAGGTGAAGGGGATTTCCGAGACCATGCAAGCGAGGCCAGCCCAGCGTGCAAGGAACAGTCACGTTGGGAGGGTGGGTGGGGTGAGGGCTGCCTCTGGAGGGGCCGGGACTGCAGGGGCCTGTGTGCCCAGGCCAGTGGGGTGGGGATTAGGGCCTGACGCCCCGCTGTCAGGGCGAGCTGATGGATCTCCACTGCTGGGAGCACAAAGACCGCTCTGTGGTGGCCCCAATGTGTTCCTGTCCATCAGAGGGCGGCTTGGGCGGCTTGTGGGGGGGCGGTGCCAGGGGGAGGAAGGCCAGGTCTCCAGGTGCCGCTTCCCCGCATCGCGGCTCTGAGAGGAGCAAGGTGGGTAAAGGGACAGTCCCCCATTGGGGAGCTGCCGTCAGAGACACCGGAGCTGCCCTATCTTCCGAGTCCTCTGTCCCAGGCGGGCGGGGCTGGTGTCCCTTCCCCTCCCTGCTGCTCTGGTTCCCCGGCGGCTGTGCAGGGAGCCAGGGACCCGGCCTCAGGGGGGCCAGGGGAGGAGGAGAGGTGTCTCCACCTGCCCACTGCCCTCTCCTTACAACCATCACCTGCCTCACTCACACACTCACACACACACACACACACACACACCATCCTTCGCCAGCTGACACGCCTGTCCTCCCGGTCCACACTTCCTCCTGCCTCTGGGTCGGCCGTTCTACACCCAGGACCACGCGCCTCGCTCCCGAAGGCCCGCCGTGGTCTTCCATGGGGTGCCCCTGCCTCACTTCCAAGTCCCTCCGTCACTGCTGGGCGTCCCCTTCTCTGCAGGCTTGTCCTGAACCTTGAGCTCCACCAACCAGTCCCCCGTCCCCTCCTCTTCTCGTCTGGACCCTGCGTGACCTCCTGACCCAGCAGTGCTCTCCTCCTCCCCAGCCCCGACGCAGGCTCTCCACAAACTCCTGACACACCTGCTTGACGAGCCCCCTCATTGCACACGATGGCAGCCCCCGTGCTTACGGCAGAGCTGAAAGAACTCGCTGGCAGTGTGACCGGGCATTCCCGTTCTCCAGGCTCACCAGCTAGAGCGTGAGATCCCGGAACTCCCACGACACAAGCCCGGTCCTCCCGCTCCCGCTTCGCGAGGACATGGGCACGCTGTCCGGAGGAAGGGCGATTGGCTCCCAAAAGGCCAAGTGTGGCCATTTCTGGGTTTCCATAGTAACTTCAGCATCCCTCCCATTCTCAGGGCTCCTAGGATTAGCGTGTAGTGACCCGGCAGCCCTAAAGTGAGCCTTGTCCGCTTCTGGCCCCCCCTGGACGGGAGCACGGGTCCTCTCAGACCCCAGGCCTCTGCCGAGAGGGGACCCCGCACTTAGAGGTGAACCAGTCCCTCCTCCCCCCGCATCCCAGAGAGACCTGAGGGCGACCTGAGGGCTCAGACAGGAAGAGGCGGAACCAGGAGGCCAGGGGCCGGGAGACTCACACTGCGTGGAGGGGCTCTGCTCCCCGCCCACGGCGAGGACTCCCGGAAGCCTCAGGTCCGACTGGGGCAGAAACAGACTGGAGGAGACGACATAGGAGGACGCAGAGGGAGGGAGGGCGGAGACGCAGGTCCCCCAGACCCGACTTTCCACAGCTGGGCGGTGGCACCATGACCAGCGTATTCCAGGTGCCCACTGGCCCTGCCACAGGAGAACAACAAGACCCCGAATTCCTCCTCCCTCCATGTATCCCCATCACTGAGCCCTGAGAGACACGGTCAAGGCTGCCGTGGAGACCAGAGGGGAGGCCATGTGTCCCCTTCCATCGGCCCTTCTTGCCCCCGGACACGCCTGCCGGACGGGCAGCAGCCTGCCCTCTGGGAGGGACTCCTGTCTGGCTGAGGCTCACGGAGCTGCCAGGAAGCAGGGGACGAATGAATTGACGTAGGACCCCTTCCAGCCGAAACCCACCCCTCTGGCCCCCACCCTAACTCTTTGGGACCAGCAAAGGGAGCAGGCAGGCCCCCCGCCAGGAGTAATTGAAAGGAGCAGATGAGAATGTGTCCCCCACCTCCCCTGCCTGCCCCAGGGGGGCTGCCGAGAAATGAAAACTAATCAAATTACACCCGACGGCCTCCCTCCTGGGCCCAGGAGCCCAGGGCTGGCCGGGGCAGGCAGGCTGGGTGGGTGGGTGGAG